GCATGTGTGAAATTAATATTAATATTTATTTATACAGGCGAAATTACGGATGCGATCGAACCGGGAACATGAACATGAGAAACTGTCTGAACAGTCAATTCATGTAAATAGTTCTTTATATGTTCTCTAGAGGTTTCAGACCATTTCCACTGCAATAGGTACATTAGGCCATAATTTGTGTAGATCTTGCGATACGCTTGCACGTTAAACAAAATTGTGATAATTTTCCATTTTAGGTGAATAGATCAGTTTTTATCATTCACAGCTTTTTTTTGTAATTTTTTCAAAAACTACTTATTTCCTCTCGGAAACCATTCATTTTTAAACATAAAAATATATGTAAAACTGTTATCACGAGATTTGTAAAAAATAAAGACCTGAGGTCAGAAACAGGAGACAAAAAGACGAATAACTGATGTAGCACCAGGTGATTTTAACGGAAGCTCACTGATCGTGTTTTGTCAGAAATGTAATTTACATGATGAAAACTCCCTTCTACAACTGTTGGGTAAATTTAATATCCTATTCTTCCTATATAAAAGAAAGTATTGAACAATACCTGTGACTAAAAAATTGTAGTGAATTATTCCAATCTCTCACATAGAAAACCTTATTTAAAGTAATATTAAATTCTTTTGAACATTTTGTTCAACAAAATTTAAAATTAGTACTAAAATCTTATCCCAAAAGACATAAAAGTACTATGTTACGTATTAAATGACTTGTAAAGTGTATAAACACTTAAAACCACGGATAGTGCAAGGAAAATATTGAACACCTGTAATGCACATTCTGGATTATTTCAGGAATAGTTTACGCATGAAACGACGTATAAAAAGGGGTAAACAACATACAAAACTAGTGCTTGAATATTTCTCATTTACAAATTTTTTTGGTCAATGGGCATCCATTTTCCACACAATATGACAGAAAAATAATATGTTGTACTCACATCAAACAGGAATAGGATTTTGAGTACAGCGATTTATCTGGTTTCATTTCCAATAAAAACTTGAAAGGAATTTTATATGAACATTGGGTCTCAAGTGATGCTTTGAAAAAGAAAGATCTGGCAAAACAAGATCCCGGCCATCCAATTTATTGAGATTTTACTTACACTACGTACCTAAAACCTTCTTCTGATTTGCTCAAAAATTAATTTTATTGAAGGCTAGGGTAAAAATAACAATGGTCCGAAGGTTTACAGGAATGTACTACTTCACTACAGGAATTGTGTGACATGACTGTAAAAAAATTAAAAGCCAGGTATATCCTGTCACACAGTATGGCCTAAGTCCAACTTAGCTGTGTGGCACAGACGATTGGCCAAACAATTTTAATTTTTTTTTTTTTTTCAATTATTCGGAGATTTGAACCCAGAACTGTGACAAATATTAGCCTGTCATCTTAACTTCTTTGGGGAATTGGTATTGTGTAGCTATTTTAATATTTAGATTGTTAGGAAATTAAATTTTTTGAACGTATATCCTAGAACTGTCGGCAAACGTGTTTCGATCTTAAAAAAATTATTAATAACATAAATTAGGTTTTAAGACTTTTTCCCAAGCCCGTTCGGAGAGTTGATTACTCTTAGGCCAATTTCAACGAAGAAAATTCACGTCTCTTTGCTCAGCACAATTTTCTCGCCACATAGTGATATTTATAACCCTTTACATACAAATGAAATTAAACAAGACTTCACTATTCCTTAACCTATTTCTCACCCTCCAAATACCTTCGAACACTAAACACGTAATCTGTGTGTGCTTACGAGGAAACCCCTTAAAAAGTTCCTGGATTTGGTTAGATCACGTATCAAATCCTACGCTGTCTAATAAGAAAAACCATAGTTTTTCTTAGTTTAACTTCCTACTTAATTTTTGCTCTTTAAAGCCATCCAAATAACGTGTTTCCCTGCACTTTGGAAATTTTCCCTCTTTTCTCTGCATCAACAACTAAACCAATTAGTTTTAATATTTAGATTGCTTCACCTACAATTCTGTCAGTCTCCAGTCTCCTCCCTGTAATGAGTAAAATTTTCGAAAAGAAATGAGGCCACATTAAGAAAGAATTGTAAGCTTGGGCAAGTAAAGAATCCAGTAAATATTGGGAGCGACAACCAGGCATGAAACAAACAAAAAGTCTACTCGCAAATACAACCTATGAAAGAAAAAGAAAATCCTATGCAACAGAAAGGAATTAAAAACAGTTTGGACTTTAGTCCCTACACTCAACAATCCATCAATGTCATCGAGTTGTGAACTTCATTTTATTCTCCATTGAACACGGTTTAAGAATAGGGGGGGGGGGTCCCTGGGCCTCCTGTAGCAGGTGAAAGGCATCCTACCCTGGATCCACTACTTAAACCAAAAATCGTACCTGTCTGACCTTACTTTAACGATAGACAGGGAACAGCGTTATCTCCTATCCTGTCAATCTGGCGTCTCACAAGGAAGCATTCTTGGACTTCTCTTTTACACGGTACAACTCTGTCTTTCCTGTCCAGATACAATCTTCTCTCTTTTTACTGGCGATGCAACAATCCTTCCTCTGCAGAAAGACACAGTCACCGCATTCGAAAACTTGCAGAACCGTACGTTACTTGAGACTTCACCTAGACAACGATTTACTTGAAATCCGCACCCAAGTCTAAAATGAACTACACGGAGGTTACAAACTACTATCACCACTACACCACCGTCGATCCAAACATCCGAAGTTGTTATACATCATGATCCCCCAGCCTATGAGGTCTTTCTACTTACTCTCGAATTTTGGAGGTCAACCAACCATTCGAACTCCCAACGCATTTAAAGTTCACAGTCAAAAGACTTAAGAACAATTGTGAACCCTCTTTCTTATGAGCCCTTAATATTCCCTTTGTTCCAGAAATAGGGAAAATCCCTCAAAAAACAATTTTACCTATCCCTTTCCACACATTACAACGCCTTGGTTTGTCAGCTCAGTTCCACTGCCATCCTAGATAATAATCTATGTTGACCGAAAAGCCAAAGAACTAGGTGAGTAAGAAAATTTAATATTGCAATAAAAAGCGCAGTTTGTTTTCCTTTATAAACAACAATCAAATGAACAATTCAATGTAATCTGGTCTTGTAAGGATTACCAATGTTTTATTCTAGAAATGATTTATTCCAAATTGACAAAATATCAACAAATTTTAAAGAAATGAATTGAGCATTTTTGTCTCAATGCCTTGTCGATTTAAATTTTTGGGCTTATTTAGATTCCGAACGTGCCGCATTTATCTGTAACCTTTCCAAGGGTGAATTTTATCTTTATTTTCGTTTGTGCGGAAAAGAATGAAAATACAAAGCTGCTTACCCAAAAGGCAACCTTTCCGTCTATTAAATATAACAAGTACTCTTTCAATAAAACAAAAACGAGGTAGTAAAACAAAGAAAATATCATTGTATTTAGTAAGTTTTGCATTGGAAAACGAATGTCAAAACATCCTTGTCGGAAACACGCCCAGTGTATTGTTTTATTTCACCGGACAATAGACGAATTTTCAAACTGTTGTACAACGCTATTCTAAACAATCGATCGATTATCAATTAATCTTTTTCACATCAAAAACACAATACTTTTGTCGTCAATCTTGGTCGAAGAAAGGTGACAAAGGGTTTGTGGTATTTTCTTTTTTTGTTCAATCAATGCACATTGTATACAGAACAAATGTCCATTTTATGAAATTGTATATAGCTGGGGAAAACATTAATATTGATCGGCTATTGATTAGGATAATGTATTCGACTAGTACGGCCATTAACCTATTTTAATGTTTATTAAAACGTACCATGTTTACCAAATTTAGACGTCAGAGGTATTATAAATTTGATAATGATCCAATGCGAACNTATATATATAAAACGCCTATGTCATGAATTTTGACAAGTTTAGTATTGATCACATTTCATTGTAAATTTAACGTAATTTTCAATGACCTCAACGGATTTGTCAAAAACCTTATTATCATGAAGTTACCATTGTTCATTTGAAGCAAGGTCGTGAAGTCTTAAAAAATCAGAAAAAGTGAAATAACTCCGAAACTTGAGATTAGGACCACAGTTAATTAGTACTTTTTGGTAATGAGTGAGTGAATGAGTGAGTGTGTGTGTGTGTGTGTGTGTGTGTGTGTGTGTGTGAGATTAGTTTTTTAACAAAGAAGGATATTTAGAGGCTATTCCAACTGAACTCTATGTGTTAATAAAAAATATATCAGAAGGAGCATTCTCAATTAGAAAGAAATCACAAGAATAACAAAGGCCATAAATAATATCCTTCTACCAATTTAGTCAAGGTCCAGTGCATGTGGACGCTAAGGAAGAAACACACTTCCAGTTGAATACCTCTGAGGAAAACGAAAGTCAATTTCAGGACAGACTTAATTAGAAATACTAAGGGCCAAGGTAGAACAGTGACACAAAGTAAAAAAGTATAACAGATATAATTATATTGCTGTGACCAAATCAACAGGGAGCATCAAAAGGCTCGCTAGGATGACCTACGTGATGAAAGAGAATTCCACCTTACCCTAAAGGCCAACAAAGGAAAATGAGCCAACTAGTTTGAGAAGTTGAAAACTTGTAAAGACCCTGTACTTGCTGTATTGTAAAAATAAATTAAGCATATTTTTTATTAGGATATTTTTATTTGTTCAGTTTTAAGCAAAATTTTAAACAGAAAACAAAGCCTAAGTGAAACTTTATACGGATGCCAAAAACTATAGCCAGATTCGTCATTCTGTATTAAAACTTAATAATATTGTTTTTGTAAGTAACCTCGGTGCATTTTATAGCCACACGGCAAATTTTCTTTCTAAATGCACTAAATATAACTATAATACTTTTAAAAAACTGCAGGCATATTTTGTATTATGAATTCAATTGTTGCAAGCTATTAAGCAAATCGTGTTGTTGCGGTTTCGCTCCTATCTACTTCGACTACACAAGCATTATTTCTGGCTGTCGAAAACTGACCTGTTGTTCCTATCTACAATACGTAGGATATTATTTTGATTCGGGAGCGAAGACCCAGTTAGTCTGGCAGCCAAATGGAAACTGAACGGAAAGGAATGCTCTGCATGCCGCCCCCTCCGCATCCGACTCGACCGCCTCGTTTGAGCACGTTCAGTACTACACCAGTGTGTTACAAGTGTATAAATCTTCTTTTCAATGCACTGTTTGCTCTTTCAGAAAGCGTAGATTAATCAATCATGTCTAATGCCATGTCGGTAAAATGGGTTGGTTTTTGGTTCTTTATACATAAAAAATGTTCTGGTAATCGTTACAAAATCTTTTCACCTGGGGATTGAATATATATAATCGGATAAACCATTTACAGAACTGGATGATACTCGTCGATTCTTGTGCAAAAGGATTGATGAAGTTCGAATACATTAGAAACTTTTTAAATAAACAATTCCATCAAACCGACATGCCTACAATGTTTTATTATATTTATATTAGGGGAAAATAAAAAACGTTAAAATATTTTTCTGAAATGTGTCGTGTTTAGTGACCGTTAGTTAATGATTATTTGGAGATCGTGAGATGTGGTCTGGTGTGACGTAGATTTAAGAAAAACATTTTCTTCATCGTGCCAACGTTTCGATCTTTATTGAGATCATCTTAAGGGCCTGGGATTTATAAACATTTTTTTAAATTACACAAATACATGTAGAAGGAAAAAAAGGAATTTATGCAATGCTAGAAATTTTAGATTCAATCAAAGTATTTGTACTCACTCAAAGTGTTTGTTTTCTGTGTAAATGTGTCATTATTGGGTGTCGTGTTGAGAGTGCCAGTGCGATATTGATGTTTTTGATGATGATCTCACGATCTCCAAATATTCATTTTTCTGAAAACTACCAATTTCAAAAATGAAAATATATAATGTGAGAGAAAAACAGTGAAAGCGAGTAAGGGAGAAAGAGATCAAGTAAAACTGTATGCATTATATCTATCTGTTCGCCGGTGAAATTTAAATTGTGAGAATGAGAAAAAAGATGTAAGGGAGAATAGGCAAGAAAGAGAATACAAAGAATGAGAAAGAGAGAACGAGTAAGAAACAAAAAAACGAGAGAGAGAACAAGAAAATAAAATAAAAGAGTGAGGAGAGTGAAAGAAAGATTGTAAACCAATAATAAGAGAATACCCCCATCGGCCCCCAATTAGATTAGTTTGATATTGTACACAGGTCGATGAAGGAATGTTGAGTACTCCATCTACCAAATAGAATAAATGCAATGTATATAGGTGTGAATGTACTTATTCCTTCCTTCTCATCTCACTTCCTTCCTTAAATGATTTTAAATCCTTAATAACCCCCTTCTCACATTTGTATCTTTCCCAAGCTTTCCCGATGAACCCTAACCCAATAATCTACTTTTTGTTTATCGAACTCGAATGGACTACTGATTAACAAACTTGAGCTCGTAATATTATAGAATGATAGATATATTGACGTAGCTCTAAAACTGAAACTCGCTTAACAGAAATGCATTCTGTTCACACAGGTTACCAACTTCCATTCCACGGAATCCGCTCGCAACTTCCATAAAGTTATCTCCATCTCCCTCCCCTTCTGCTCTGCACCTAACCTGCCAGCAATATACTGTAATCTATCAGTTCCTTTGTACCTCGCTCAATTGAAATCCATCTTTAATTCCTTCGGATGTCGGTTTGTAGACCGAGGAGCCTTCAATGCCAAGCATCCTCAATGCGGCAGTAGAGGTGCAAATTCTCGCTGACGTATCCCTCAAAACAAAATCCTGATAGAAAACTATTTCTATATTTCTCCTTGCTTACCAGTCAATTGGCCTTCTGATCCTGCGACTGACATGGACCCATCACCTTATCCCTCCAGTGCCTAATGGATCTGTCCTCTGATCCCCATTTCTCCTCAAATTAAGTATAACCCGACTTTCTAAACCCAGAAGACCATCCCTTTTGCAGTGCTCATTATACTGGCAACTTTTTCAAGATATCCTAAATTCTGCTCTAAACCTAAATACTCCAATGAAAACAGCCAATGACATAAAAAACGTAGTATTACATTAAGCAACAGCGTTTTAAATGTAGAATTAAATGCATTATATATATATAATCATCTGAATCGAAAAAATGTTTTCACAGAAACATTTAAAAGCCGATATTTTTTTTTAATTTAATTTTTTTACATTAGGACACGTCCAAATAGATTATACTTCTTTGACAGGCCTGTTATTGATTTAATGATTTGCATTGAGCCGTTTTCCCATTGATATTTTGAGGCCGTAAAATTTTATATCATGACGTAAAATCGATATTCGCCGTTGAGGATCGATTTTAGCGAATTCCCATTGATAAAATCGACATATGTGTTAGCAAAACATTTTATTTATACGTTTTTATTCAAACCAGAAGAGATAATTTGAAGGGTATTTTTCGAAGTAAACAATTCCTGGAGGCCATCCTGGTTGAGACCGCCGCTTGAAAAGAAAGGCCTGCACTGGATAGCTATGAACTATGAAACGTTACATGAATCATACGTAAAACTAAAACATTCCAATTTGTTGCCAAACAATAAAACGTGTTACAAACACCATCGATATAGTTTGAAAAATAAAAACAAAAATAACATCAAATTTAAAAATGTTTTCAATACATGATTTTTGGAACTGTTATTAACCCTGACCTTTTATCAACACGTGTATTTTACTGACAATTTTAATGCGACATACTCAATGATTTTAAGAGAAGTTATTAAAGGGCTCAAGATAAAAGGACTTGATAAGACATTCGAAAGCGACCCGAGAAGACAGGTAACCAGGTACTGTAGAATGCAAATTGTGCGTTTAGTTTTCTTGTTATTATCAACTGTGTTGGACTAAACTGTGTGAAGTCGGTTAATACCGAAAGTGCTAAAAGTCGTTTCGGTTCGAAGCCAAACTCTTGGACATTGTTCACTGGGCTCAACATTTTTAACATGATCAGTGCAACACAAATATTGGTATGTCTCGTTATTAAGTAATCGTTTTTTTAGTAATTATAATAATAAATTATAAATTGAACCTAAGTACAAGAAATCGAACTGTCTTAAGTAAGATGATCCAAAAAAAATCCTAAGAAGTATTTCTTATGTCTTTAAAATGATTCTCATATCTTCATAAAGAGTTCTTCTCTTATCACAAAACACCTGTTGAACTGTAGCAATAATTATGCATTAACAAAAATATAAAACTAGAAGTGATAACAGTTTGACGACGTAAATCTTTATACAATCTGGGCCATACACTATGTCCCTTTAACAATTCATCAAGGTGATGAGCGTAAAGTTAATTTTTGTCAGAGGGGAATGAATATGTTCTTTGTTGTTTTTAAAAACGTTTATACAGATTAAAACTTAAAACCTGGATATTAAACTTGATATCATTATAGGTCGATTTTGAAACATGTGTAATCACATTTTTTGTTATTTTATATGCTAGAAAGTTGAATGATCTATAATGTTTATAATCATTGCCGAACATACATTCCGACGAACTGCATGTTTCAGTGCGGAAAAGACAGCTAAATAATTTTAAGACTTTTCTTTGATTTTTTTTTCAAAAGATCAATAACTCCCGCTGATAAAAATGCAACCAGCTTTATTTTTAAAAAAATCATTATTACTGTTTATACAAAATAGGTTAGGTTAGATTCATTGTAAATTTTTAAACCATTAGCCTTAAATAAAGTGATAGGCGCTGAATTTAATTTTAATCTTGGCCGAATAGAAAAATTCAAAACTCTATGTACTTGAGTCAACTGGACATGAATGGATTTTCTTTTTAATTCGAGTAGTGGAGAAAAAGACAAGTTGTGCTCTTTAATCTAGATGGGGACTTACTTAAAGTGCAGTGGTGATTGTTTTCTATTTTAAATTCAGACAAATCCTCGTGTAATGGGTTTTAACGCGCCTAACGGTCGGGCAAAAGAAATCGTCAAAAATTGTCTCTTCCGTTTGATTGATAGGATGATGGTGAAATACACGACTTTTACTCTTTATAGTATTGAAAATGAACTAGTGGTCGTCGCCGATGAGGGGTAAGTGGAGCAATTCGAAATTATCTTGGAAAAAAAATTACAGCATCCCTGTTGAATAGAAGAACACTAAACAGCCAAACCAACCTGAGTCCAAACTGTAAAAATAACAATGATAATTTCTTTCAATTTTTTCCTACAAAAACTTCTTAAACATCAGTAGTTAATAGATAATTAATAAACAGTTACTTTTTTGAAAAATCAAATGTGAAAAAAGAAATAATACACATTAAAAGCAACCTTTATGATCAAGTAACCTTCCGTTTTTGAAAAAATCTGGCATCGGGAATATTGTGATCAAGTATTCAATTCATCACTTTTTATTTTTACAAAAAGCCTTTTAACGTTTTCTTATTTGTTAATTTTTTTAAGATTGTAAATATGCCGCGCTGTTTTATACTTTGTAATATACTTAAGAGAATTTTAAATTGTGTAAATTAGGAAGATGGAGTAATGATTTCGGTAATTGTAGAGTGAGTATTATCTTTTTTTCCCTAAACAATTGATATAAATATTTGTAAATCCGTGTAAACCTCTCCAAAACCATAACACTAGAATTTTTCGGCTCGGAACCAGGTCGACGGTTTTAAATATAAACCTCACTAAACATAAAAAATCTCTCTAAATGTCTTCAATTAATCATTCCTTTTACAAACGGTTATGACTGTCAGAACAATACCTTGACCCTTACCTGAAAATTTTAGTCCCTACATTTGACATACATGTAAGGGAATGATAGAAATTGAAAATATACTATATGATCTAACAATCGAAGTAGATCGTATAAACGATAAAGTTTTCATTGTGAGATTGAAAGATAATGTTGGTTGATCTGCTTTGTTAATTGCTTCTTAATCGAGTCAACATGCAAGACCTCGATTTTTCAACTTGGCATGCCTTTCCCTCGGAATCTCCATGGATGTTCTTGTGTCTGCTACTACTTGAACTTTTTATTCCTATATTTTGTCGTTTTATCCAGACCAAAGTGAATTTAGGAATAGTATATTGACTTTTCTACGGCGTTTTTTATCTATAATCAATACCCGCACCGGGCGAAGGGTTAATTTCTAAACAATGAAGAGTGTCAATCGTAAAGCCCATCGGGTACAAACCCACTCTCCTCTCTAAGCTTTATTTAATTCACTATACCGCTTTTCCTCTCCCTTTCTCTAAAAATATCAAATATTTAATACTACCTACTTTCCACAATAGTAATTTGCAAAGCCTTTAATTGAATTGTTTTTTAAGTTGATTATTTCTCATATAGAAAAGGAAAGCAGTAAGTATTAGCAAAGACCATGTCTATAATTCGTGGTTTTATTAGAGAAATGTTTTTTCCTTTTTCTTTATATATATTTTGTTAAATTTTTCTGAAAACTTAGCCAAGAAATCGATAATGATTTAAAATTATTTTTTAATAAATAGGAGCTATTTGAAGTTCTTTGTATCCAAATTATGAAAGAAAACAAAGGCATTAAGTTGGATTTTGACAGTTTAGCTTACTTTCCAGTGTTAAAATATAGTTTGTCATTGCCACATAGTTAGTTTTCGTTTTTATTACAAGAAAATCTAATACAAGTAAGCAAAGATGAAAGAAGTTTAGTTAGTTAGATGTTTTATGCCAAACGGATAATCGATAGTTTGCAACTATTTTTGAAAAATGATCCTTCCATTATTTCATAACAGATTTGTTTTATGAAAGAGTAAAGTCTTAGAAAACATATAATAAACTAAGTTGAAATTATAGCCGTTAGGGAAAGAGTAATCGATTTTGATTAATTATTTTTGGAAAAGGGGCTTCGAATCAATCGCAAATTAGTAACGTTCAATATTCGTAGAAATGGTTTTTTTAAACTATTATTTTTAACTTAATTGTTGAGAAATCTAAATTCCAACCAAGCTTATTTTTGTCAGAAATTTTGATTACACGACAGCCCCGATTTTCCGTCAAGCAACGGAAACAGATGAAGTCCATCTAAATTAGACTTATCAGAGATTGGTCCTACTTTATGACTACCCTTAGAAAGTGCATTTTTGATCAGGTACTCACAACTAGCTGAGTATTTTATCGTATATTTGTGGAAAGGATGTGCCCGGAATTTTATGAAAAATTGCCTAAGCAGTTCCGGAAAATTTGTCTGATTTGAAGAACTTAATAACCTAATATAGATATGGGAAACTGCCTAAATATACAAGAATAGGCGGACCATTGATGGTGTAAATGGTCGCCACAATAATGAATGTTAATTTAATTTTAAGAAAAACAATCTTGCTTTACCCCTCCACCGTAAATTACCATTTCGTGTCAACTCTGTTTTATAGACTTTGCTAGCAATTTGCTGCCTGAGCGTATTCTCAAAACCTAAAGAGTTATCCTAGAGCCACCATTTTTGAAGTATAAGAAAGGAAAGAAATTGGCGAAATATCATCTAGGAAAATTGTGAGAATTCTTCTTCAGGCCTGTAGCATGTGGAACGTTCATCTTGGTCTTTCAGAACATTTTTGGTCCGCCTATCCTCATTGTTTAGATATTGTCTTTATCCGTATTTTTATATTAAAGATATCGAAAATCTGCCTGGCAGATCGGAAAGGATCAAGCTGCGTAGTCCTATAGGAAAGTGATGATTTCGTCTGGGCCACTATTTTGAAAGTAAAAGAAAGGAGATTTATTAGCGATATAGCGTCTTAAAAAGTTGTAAGCAATCTTCTTGAGGACAAGCACCTTGGTCGTTGCAATAAGTTGTTCTAACCTAATTCGGTAATAAAATAAATTCAATCCACACTTCACATGGTTGATGGATATAAAGCCAATACCACAAAAAAAAATCCACAATATATCTACTTATGTCACAACCTGGATCTATGATTTCTGCAAACGGCAAAATGTATTTTTGAAATCCAAGTAATCCAAAACTTTGTACCCCAGGAGTGGCTCCCTGACCCCACCCAGAGACGTGTTATAATGTAGAGAGCGATATATCTAGCGGGTGTATGTGTATAACGAACTCGTCTGAGCATTTCACTACCATTTTTGAAAGAGCCAGTAAGCATCATTTGACCATTTTTATAATTTTTCTTCGGGTAATTCGGTTAGGGTAGTTATTAGTATAGGTATATAGTTAGTTAGTGGTAGTGAAATGATAGTTCCCAATGTTCCTGCATGAAAGTTACTAATAAAAAACATTTCTGGATAGAATATTTTAAAGTGGTTTGTTTCCATTTCCTTTTTTTGTTTTTATTGTTATTTCCTGAACTTCCTAAGAGTTAGAGGATTTACGTGGACATCTTTAACCGTTACTCTTAGGGAAACAAAGATTTGACAAATCTATTTCTCTCGTTTGTGAAGGAGCAAGGGCTTCGGACCATATTCTCTTAGTATTTATTTTCAAGGAAACTTATTTGTTTAAACTACCTTCTCTTGCCAGTTACTGCCCCTCACAACAGTGAGTAGCAGAGCTAAAAACTCCACCTTCTAACAGAAAAAAAGTTATGTTGTTCCTGATTTCGCAGACGGCACGAATTCTCGCAACTTTCCTAGGTTCTACTTAACTTATTTCCAAAATGGTGGCCCATCTCTAAGTTAAATAAACCACGTTTTCCGAACTTTCGGCAGAAAAAAGTTGACAAAGACTTTAAATAAGTCAATTTAGCCAAATACACTAAAATGAAGTATCCTACATATAAAAAAGGGCTTGAATCAGAGTTGATTCCAAATGGAAACTCAAAACCCCTCTCAAACTACACTTTCGTTTAAAACATATTTTACTTTTGTTAATTTATTATGTTTATAACAAAATCATGACATTTGGGAGCTTACTAGATCTACAGTTTGACCTTACTTTATGACCAAATTAAGCGGGCCAAAATTGATCTGAAACGCCCAGTCTGCAGGTATCTCACCACGCAGACTTGAAGAAGAGTCCTCACAATTTTTCTAGGTGATATTTCGTCAACTTATTTCCAAAATGGAAGCTCATCTCTCGGCTAAAACCACTTTTCAAAACTCTGGACAAAAGCCTCAGAAAGCATAATGTTACATTCTTGAATCACAGTTGACTCATGGAAATCCGAACTACGCTTTTGCCGTCATCATAGGAAAGAAATTAAATTTTGGTTATAAAGACCTCGTTCATTGCGATTTACCTATATTTCTTGGGAGAATTGACCTTATTATATGACCAAGAATTGAATGTTGACCTTCCTATCGGAATTTAATTACTATTCTAGGTAGATTTGTAGTTTCCAATACACCATACGGATTTTTACCATCTTTGATATTCTAAATTTGCTTACTAAGACGCTCAATCTGAAAATAATATCGAAACAGCGAGGATAGGAGAACCGACCAAGCTGCAAATTCCTCACCCCGCATACCTGAAAAGGAATTCTCACAGCTTTCTTTGGTACTATTTCGTCAATTTATTTTATTTTATTTTATTTTCAAAACGGTAGCCCCTCTCTAGGCTAAAACCAACCACTTAATTACTTGGCTCCATTTAGAGAGCAAGTAGGAATGCAATATGATAAGCGGCTCGAGTATTCAGCGTTTTAGAGCAAAGCTGTGGTATTTTTGGGTTCATTTTTACTGCTGGTAATATTATTGTATACGTAGCAACTTAGGTGGTAGATGTATCCTGTGTTAACTGTTGAGTGAAAATATATTTATAAGCGTACGTGTGTAGTACAAGAACGTCGATTGTGGTATATCAAGTACTCGATCGACCTTCAAATAGAATATTGTCGATAGCTATTAAGCCAAACTTCGGCGATGGTGTGTATAAAACCGAGGTCTAACCAAGAACAACTAAAACACCGTAGGGAGCAAGCCGCGAGTCATAGGTCCGATTCTGCACATACAGGGTGAGTTTTAATTTCTAATCCCCCTCTATATTTTTATTATTGGGCCGTTTGTGGGTAAAATTTTGAGACACGTAAACTTTTAATTTTGGACTGGTTTCTCATGATCCTTTGATCTAACTCTCCAGAATATCGGGGCAGAAATTTGCACCAGGCTGAACCGCGCTTTTATGAGCAACAACCGGAGCGTACTCGATATAATTTAAAAAATTGTTGAAAAGTTTTGAAAAACGTGAAACAATTAATTTATTATCAATTAAAATTATAAATAAATTGGTTCTTGGTTGAAGAAGTTCGAGAAGGTTTCGTTTATTCGAAAAACAATATTCGGAAATAGCTTTTTGTAAATAACTTGAGAAGGTTTGTTTCAAATTAAAAACCCTTTGCACCTTTGACTTCAGGGTAAAAAACCTTTAAAAAAAAGTACATTGACGAGTATCGTGCCATTTAAAATAGTCTCTATTCCGTTATACTAAAACTTATGGATCATGACGTTGGTTTTTTCCTCAAAATGACCCAATAAAAAAATATATACAATATATAGGGAGGGGGGGAAATAGAAATTGAACTGTACTGTACTAAAGCATATATATTTGTGCAGAATGGAACGTATATATTTTCAAGGATAACAATTGAATTATAAAGAATTACTTTGGAAAGGGCTACATTTGATGTGTAAAAGGTTACACTTTTGGGAAAGGTTCAAATAGACTTAGAAATACTATAAATAAATCAATCGATAAACTCAGGCGGCCGTTTTGACATTATGGTTGTCTAAATATAATAGAAATTTAATTTTTTTATTTTTATCAATGTTTCTGAAGATGGTAAAAGCGTAGTTTGAGAGGGATTTTTGAATTACAAATTTTCTGTTGAATAATAGGCAAAGATTTTGTGTAATTCATTGATAGCTGGCGTTAATAAGTAAAATGACCCAATAAAACAATGTATACAATATATGGGGGAGACAAAAGTTGAACTATATGTATGTACTAATGTATACATATTTCTCCAGAATGGAACATATTTTTTCAAGGGTAACAATTGAAGTTTAAAGAGTTATTTTGGAAAGGGTTACATTTTACTTGGAAAGGGCTAGATTTGATTTGTAGAAGGGTACACTTTTGGGAAAGTTCAAATAGACTTTGATTTGTCTATTCAATCAAAGTTATAACATTACTAATGTTATAAATCAATCAAAGGATAAACCGAGGCAGCTAAATTTTGAGATTATGGTTGTCTAAATATAATAGAAATTTAAATTTTTGTCTATGTTTTTATCAATGGTTCCTGCAGATGGTAAAAGCGTAGTTTGAGAGGGTTTTTTATTTACGAATTTTCTGTCGAACAATAGGTAAAGATGAGTAAAATTTTGTGTAATTCTTTTATAGTTGTCGTTAATAAGTAAAAGTGAAAATTGTTGTACATAACAGGTCCCGTTTAAAACCTAACTACGAGGAGCGCTACATTTCGATTGATGAAGCAACTAGGGCATGATCAGCTGTTACAACCAAACTTTTGACAGTTTACATAGAAAACAGATTGCGCGTTGAATTTGTTTATAAGTGAAATGTTTCTTTTAACGGGGTCGATTTTGCCTGTTTTCACCTCGGTGGACGACTTTGAATTCGAAAGGGGCGCGCACTGCTTCCCTCCACGATCGGACGTCAATCCTAGATCTGGCCGACTCAGAGCGGTGAGTGACAAAAAAGCGGATTCTTCCGATTTTCCTTGGGGCAAAATTGATTCAAAACCCCCGGACGGGTTTTTGGGAGGCGGAGGAAAGGCGGCGAGTGTCGTTTCGACGTCTTTTCACGCCCCCTCGGGTTGAGAGCCGTGTTGTTTATTGATTATGCCAGTTGGTGACGTATGCCATTGTAATGAAAGAAGGCTTCTCGTCTGCTTTAAGCCGTCTCAAGATATTTTCCGCTCGGACCCGGACCCAAACCTCTAAACGCCCTCGAAAACATGCTCGTGGCCTTTCTTAAGATATCTAGAAAATAACTGTGAGTAGACGCCCAACCCGCAAAACGTTCGACAACGCTTTTACCCCTCTAACCATTTTCTCCCGACTGGCAACTTCACTGGACACAGTTACCTTCTATTTTTCCTCCTGGCATTTTCGTGCACCTTCATCACCGTCGGGTGGGAAATCTCGGATATATCGCATGCCACTGGACGGTTTCGTCGTGAAAACCATCTCTTTCCCTCAGCTCGCACGTCGGCTTTTCCGAGACGATCGCTCACTATAGTTCCGATCCGCTGCGAAACTCGCACTTTTTTCGATACCGAGACCATTGTGCAAATATTATTCGGCCAGTGATTGGGTGGAAGAGATCTCAATCGATAAAAGGTACAATAATAATTAGCTTTAAAAAAATCACGTTTACGTTTACAAAAAATTCCACACGCATTAGCACAAAACACCATCATTCGCTACCCTGAAACAGAAAAAATCCGCCCACAAAACCAAAACTACTTTCCAAAATTCTTTCTTCTCATAAACCCACTTATAATCTTGAACACTTGAATCCAAAACCTTCAACATTCAGTTTTTTGACAGACAGTAAACACTCTCAACTCTACATCTTTAAAAAAAACCTCCAAAACATTTCAGTCGTTCGATGCCAGTTTCATACCTTCGCATACACCCATCCATCGCAGGATCATCCGAAACCCACCTACCTCCCACAACGTCTCAACTAATTTTTGTTCATTTTTTTCTTCTTGTTTTTTTTCCAGTATATGCAGGAGTCCAATGAAAGTTTTAATAGATAGTGATGTGCAATTGACAGTAGCACCACTTAATGCGCGCTATTGGGAACTAGCGGATTACAAGGATAAGCTTACTGTGAGTTTCTCAGTTCTTTTTAAACACAACCGAGTTAAGAAATGCTCTTCCCTTGAAACAATCATGTTCAGAAGTTTTGTTTATAAGTACACCTTCTTTTAGATTTATTTAATATGAGCATGGATTTTGAACGTTCTATAGCAAAGTTCTGTTGTAGCAAGTTTTTTAACATGTAACCTCCACTCCACCCCTACTGCAATTTTTGTCTTCAAATCAACCAATTATTTATAGTTTAAAATTGAAAATTGTATAATTATTAATACTCACACTTCTCTGAATACATTTTTCATATCTGGTAAGTTCGTAACTAAATATTTTATATAAAAAAGCTTAATGTACTCACAGAACGTTTAAGACACAACTGAGTTAAGAAATGCTCTTGCCTTCTAGAACCAAGCAGGCATGGTTGCCAACATGACAAAACCTTAAATGCAACTATTTCCAACAAGCCTTTTTTTCATCAAATTTTTTGCTTATAAATACAGTTTTTAAGTAGTTATTTGTAGATGTAAATGATTAATCAGGGTGTATTTTATACCATGCCCTATAAGAACTATTGTAAGGGGAAACAAGGGGGTTCCGTGCTTATATCTGCCCTAGTTCATCAAGGAATTTGATTAGTAGGCCCGTTTTCAGTGGTTGATTTTTTTCTTCTGTTACATTGTACATACCATAACACTTTCTCCTGTGGCAAGTGTAGCGCCACAGTTTGTTAATAGCTATGTTTGTGTCTCCTCGGTTTCTTTGCAGAATCTGCATGTGCCATTGGGTTATGCCAATCTTCATTGAATGTGGTGTCCTGTTAAGAATCCTGTTAGGATTCGCAGTTTTTTTTCTTGCTTCTCTCGATACATTCTGTTACTTCTTTCCTTCCAAAATTTGTTAGGACGTTCTTAGTTTGTTTAGGTCTAGTGAGTGAGTTCCATTGTTCCCTCATTTTCTTTTTATCCTTATGTCTAGGTACTCGTTGATAGTGTGGGTTCCTATGCCTTCCACTCGCACATGTCTTGGGACCCAGCAGAGGCAGACTTTGTTCTGCAGACCTAATATGTTTAGTTAGGTTTTGCAGTAAAACACCATCTTTGAACTAATGACATTTGAGCTTAGTGCTTTGATGGCTGCTTGGCTAGCTGGAATGATAGCTTTGTTCTAGTTTTTCCAGTTGAATTGAGTACACCTCTCGGTTGCGTAGACCTCAGCTTGGAATATACTAGTGTATTTTCCCATGGGTACCGAGCATATAGTTCCAGAACCAAATACTCCTGCCCCCCATACATCCTTGTGTTCTAAATCCATCTGTACCAATAGATGGTGCTTGGTACCGTTCTTAAAGAAGGTGTTTTTCTCTTTTTCCCCATTCTTTTTTGGTACCTAGGTTTATTTGGAAGTTTTGATTAAATTCAAATATACTGTTTTAGGGTTAAGTAATATGCGCATTTGAATAATGGTAGAAAGTGTTTTAACATTTTAACCCCCCCCCCTCATGCAATTGATTAACTTTCATATGAAGCAATTTTTTATAGTTTAAAAATGAAAATTGTATAATTATTAATACTCACACTTCTCTCAATAGATTCTTCATATCTGGATAGTTTTTAATTAAATCTTTTATATAAACTTACTGCGAGTCACTCAGATCATTTTAAACATAACTGTGTGATGAAAAACTCTGTCCTTGAAACAATCATGCTTGCCAATGCGACAAAACTGTGATTGTAGCTTTTTCTAACAAACCTTTTTTCTTTTCTTTTTTTTTCAAAAATGTTTGTTTATAAGTACTACTTGAAGTGTTATAAATGTTTTGTAAAGTGTTTCTAGATTTAATTAATATGAGCATAGATTTTGAATGGTCATATAGCAAAGTCTTGCCATAAAAAGTGTTTTCAGCTTATTAAAAGGCCCCCTCCCATATCAATTTATAATCTTTCATATGAAGATTTTTTTTTGTATTAGGAAATACCCTTGAAACAATCATATTTGCTAATGTAACAAAACTTTGAATGCAACTTTTTCCAACAAGCCTTTTTTTTCAGAAATTTTGTTTATAAATACAACTAAGATTTCTTAGATTTAAGTAATGGAATGAATTTTGATCTGTCATATAGCAAAGTCCTGTTGTAAAGTGTTTTTAACATATTAAAGCCCTCTCCCACTATAGCAATTTATTATCTTTCATATTAAACAATTTTTTAAATTATTGTTTAAAAAGGAAAATCGCCAGTTATTACTGATCACAGGTCTCTCAGTATAATTATGTCTGAGTAGTTCTTAATTATATTTTATATATGGATAAGTTAACTATGAGTTTCTCAGATCTGTTTACACACAACCAAGTTAAGAAATGTATGTGAAATGTTGTTCCCTTTTAGCATCAAACAATAACGTTGGCCAATGTGACAAAACCTTGAATGCAACTTTTCCCAACAAGCCATTTTTAAACTTTTGTTTATAAGTACAACTGAAACTGTCTGTACTATACCTTGAATTCTATATCAACTGATATCTAACCTGGAATTGACACACATAAACGTCATAAAGACAGGAAATAAATAGAAGCTTCAGTCTAGTGCATAAAATATTAAGAAAATCACCCTTATCGACTAAAACAAACTTAATACTCCACAAAACACTACTGAAACCGATTTGTCCACTACTAACTGTCCAACATTCCAACAGCACAGCCTTTCCAATCAGAATCCTCAAAACTATTGACTAACTCCCTATTGTGTCTACATTACCATTTCCAATGACCTTGGTGGAAAGCAATTCACAAGAAAAAACCTATAGTCTCGTTGCTACCAATTAAGAGATCCATGTCCAACCTAATCCACCCCTACATCCGAGTTAGGTGACTGAAGCTGAGATGGCAGCCCCAGGACCTACTAGTCAATAGGGTGTATTTATGGAAAGAAACAATGGTTGCTCGCTTCCTCTCAAGAGATCCTTGTCAGATTAGAATATTGTATCTCATCCCATTAAAGAATGCATCTATTTTTTATAGATAGTAATTTTTAAAAAATCAGTTTAGTTCTGACATTCAGCTTCTTTCTTCGTTGTACAAGCCAGATCAACACCTCCAAATATAAATTAGTATTTAGAACTTTAGGTCAGGATATATTGCCACTATTGTAGATTTTTGAACATCCTTCATCACTTGTTGCATTGCCCAGAAGAATAGATAGAACAGGCATACATATTTACTTGTATTAGGCATACATATTTGAGTATTAAAAACTCAAAGTTTTTTGAGTATAAAAAAAAAAAGGGGTATGAAACAATTCCTTAAGGAGTGGAATCTATCCCCCGGACATAGGCAATCGAAAGAGTTTTTTGTTATGGTGATCAAACCAGCAGAATCGAAATGGCTATTCTCTATCTCAAGGAAGGGAATTAGGAGGCTGATAGGTATCCTGACGGGCCATTGCCCACTGAGACGACACCTCTCCGTAATGGGTATTCTGCCAGATCCTTTTTGCCGTTTTTGCAAAATAAAAGAAGAAACGGCAGTGCACTACCTCGCAGAGTGTGATAGGTATGCTAGGTCTAGATTCGAAATCTTTGAAGGAGAGGACATCACCAAATCACTCCCTGAGATAAAATGGTCCAAAATCTTGAGGTTTGTGAACAAGTCCAAGAGGTTTATACAGGACACGTGAGCCGACCAAGTCCCGGACCTTTTAGGGATGGGGTACGAGTCTACCCAGACATTTAACCCCTCAGGTCTTGGTCGCCCACCCTGCATAATGGTGGGGTAAATATACATATTTACTTAGTACTAAGTAGTAGTAACTTCTAAGTCATTTTCATATTTCACAGTTATATAAATTTAAATAATCAACAACCTATCAAAATCAAATGTTAGCTGTTTAGACAATGGGATTGAAGTGTTGACTTGACAAAAGCAAAGTTTTTAATATTGAACTTACAGTGATGGTATCACATATCAGAACTTCATTTAGTTCTAATTAAAAACAATTGTGTTTTTTTTTTTCTTCAAAAATTCAAAACTACATGAAGGATTGTTGCATGAATTTTGGAAGAGACTATCTTGTCTTCAGACTTGTCTGATGTTGATATAATGACCAAAAGCAAACAAATTTCTTTTGTCTGGCCTTTTTCCACCTTATTATTATAAAACTGACTGGAATTTCAACGTTTACCCTTCCGGGCAGGAAATTTGTTTTGAATTAATTTTCTTAGTCATTATGACCTGCCTGTAGGTCAGCTGTCTATTTGAAACTTTGTCTCCTCTGAAGGTGAGATGCACATTGAGTTTGTTACCATCTTCAACAACCTTTCTGAATTATTAAAATTCTTTTAGGTTTAATATCACTATTACAATCTCAATAATCCAATAATAAATTCACTGTTAGTAAAAATAAAAAAAATAAAATAAAAAAATAAAAAATAAATAAAAAAGGAATGTTTCGTTGTAATAGCTACATATTTTGCTGACCCATGATCTTTTAACAATTTGTTTAACAATACAAAAGGCTTTTTTTAGCTGCTTATCTAGGCTGTTTTCCCTTTGTCAATAGATTTCATGTTTAAGTTTTTACATTTTCATGATAATTTGCTTAAGTTGTTAAACTTCAGTGTTAGTTCCCTGTTGATGCATCATCGATTAAAAGATTAATAAAATGTTAACTACTGTATTACAATTTGTCGTTATTGATCATTTTGTTCTATTCGGGTTGGTCTGTTGAAGGAGACACTAAAGATGACAAAAGGCTAAAACATTTGACAGATCAATCCAGCAAGGATAGGCATCATTGATGATCAGCATTTAATGCTCAATATAGATCATAGCAAAGACAGTTTGTGAGTAGAACCATCCTTTTCAACAATTGGATTTGCTCAGTCATATATATTTTTATGCATGTCGGCATTTCACAGTCTTCAATTTTTCTGTACGATTCTTGAACAAGACACTTTTTTAAGGGCGTGGAAGGTGCATGTCGACGTTTTCTTTGTTTTTCAGTGCTTTTTTGAAATCTGTATCACACAGGAACAAAAAAAAAATCAAAACTAATGAAGCAAAACCTCGACAAAACTGGCATGTATGCCATATAATATATACATTACAAATACACTAAACAAATTGCAGTGAAAGATAAAAGACAGATAAAAGAACATTCAAGATCATTTATGGACAATAACAGAAAATCAAACTAAGCAACTCACCGCACAGAAAACCATCACAAACCCTCAACAAGATAGCAAAAACATGAATCTACTCAAAAACTTGGAAATATACAAGTATAACACATGTAACATTAAAAACTTTGTCATAAACAGACCAATTAACGACAGTTCACATACATCATTTATTGAAAACACTACCATATAAAAAAGAACTTACTAGAACAGTGCAAAAATAATGAAAGAATAAAAACAAAAAACAGACAATCTACCAAAGGAACCGACAAACAAAGATACTGCCTTATAAAACAGATTTGACTTAACAGAAATCACACAGACTCAACGATGAAGATGTCAAAATGCTGAAATGTGTCTGACAGGTGAGGATAGGCAGAACAAAATGATCGATATCGACCAAATTAGAACACCACAAGAGTAATGCATCATAGTTCTGGTTGAATCAATGCTGGTGTTAGTAAAGATTTAATTATTAAAAGGTCAGATTAAAAGGTCAAATTGTTAATCTGCACTATTTACATTTGTAGTTGACCTTATGTCCATATTTTTTTATTTTATAATGTTTACGATTTTACACTAACTAAATAAATTGATTCTTTTCTCCCTATCAATACATTACATAATACTAAATATTTAAAAATTTGCCAATATAAATTTTTTAAATGTTAAAACAAGTTATTTTGTTACTTTTTTATGCTTGTATTAACTACAGATGTGAAATTTTGTCAGTACAAACAAAACAGGCAAAAGCATTTCTTTTGAACTTTTGTAATCAATAGTAAATATATTTATATTTTAATTAATGTCATTCTATTTGACCCAGTGCTTATCTAATCTTAAATTGCCTACCGCATGTTTCCCCTTTCCCCTCTCCTGAATCTTTTCCCCAAGATTACAATTTTTCCGAATATTTTTCAGGCTACGATAGGAGATCAAGTAGTCCTAAGCTCAGATGCTAGTTGGGCTACACGCCTACTTGTAGGAACCCCTGTTATGCCCACAGCCACTGGTAATAAATCATTAATCCAATAAAGTTTTAAAAATTATTTATTTTATCCGATTGGTACCACTGTGATTAATGCTATGGGTTTTAAAGGACACAGTGGGGCTATCCCTAGCAATGAAGAATGTGGTATTAGAGATGTTTGGGCACATAATTTAAAAGACGAATTTAAAATTATAAGGAAAATTATTTCAAAATACAACTATGTTGCGATGGTAGTTATTCTTCTTAATTTTTGAAGTATTTCGCGTACTTTAGACAAAAATTCTGAATCGAACTGGATTTTCAGGACACGGAATTTCCAGGTGTCGTCGCCCGGCCCATTGGTGAATTTCGAAGCACTGCTGATTATCAATACCAACTGTTAAGATGTAATGTCGATTTACTTAGAATCATCCAACTTGGGCTCACGTTTCTCGATGAAAATGGAAAGCCGCCAGCCGGTTCTTATAGTACGTGGCAGTTCAACTTTAGGTTTAATCTATCGTAAGTCTCTAGTCATTTATGCAAATCTTTTATTTTTTTGTTATTTTTTGTTTATGTTCTTTTTTTTATCTATTCACTGAAATTTAGGGAAGATATGTATGCTCAAGACAGCATAGACCTCTTACAGAATTCAGGTATTCAATTTAAAAAGCACGAGGAAGAAGGAATTGATCCTATTGACTTTGCGGAACTGTTAATGACATCTGGGATAATACTTATGGAAAATATTAAATGGCTTTCTTTCCACAGGTACAATTTTATTGTTTTCCCTCATATAATAATAAAAATGCTAATTTAAAATTTTGCCTAATTTTTTTTTCAGTGGTTATGATTTTGGATATTTAATAAAACTCCTCACAGATCAGAATTTACCCAATGATGAAAGTGATTTTTTTGAATTGTTAAAAATTTATTTTCCAACTGTGTACGACGTCAAGGTAACTATCTTTCATAATTTATATTAATTTATGGCTACACTCAGCAATGTTAAAAATAGATTGTTAAACAAATAAAATTTATAAGAGGTACGTGATAAATTGCGCCAGCTTCAATCTTGGAATGGAACCCCTACGGTTAACAACATACCCTGAAAAGAGTGCTTTTCCCCCAAAATCTAGCCCTTTCTTAGTGGCTCTTTGTGCACTTGGTGTTTTTGACTACCCGAAGTGGCTTTTACCATAAATGGGTTAGTACCTCAATTCACAAAGGAGGCCAATCAATGGTTCTCTTGACATATTGAACATGTCACTACTTTGTGAGAGTAGTTCTTTAGGTGGCAGTGGCCAAAATAGAGGCACAGAATTTTCCTCAAACACTTTTGCCTGCTGAGAGAGAGAGAGACTGACCGACCGACCATCCCTACCTTTTTGAGTGATTTATAAATCTCTTAAGGTGGCCATTAAGCGCCAAGCCGTACAGCTCCATTTGGAGTGCCTGAAATTTGAGAGGGCATTCACGACCGCCAGTCGCTCCGAACATCAACCAGTGAATTACCTTCTCAAAATGGATGATGATCTCTTGTGCTACGCTTCTGTTTCTTTAAATATTAAAAGCAAAAAATCGAAGAGGAAATGGTGTAAGAAGTGGCTCCTGAACAGAAGCCACATCAGTTTGATGAAAGATCTTTCCCTTGAACCCGCTGATTGGAGGAACTATTTAAGGATGGATGAAACATGTTATTTATTCTTTATATTTAGTGTTTTACTGACCTCTTTCAATTAATTAATATTTTTTGTAAGGTTTTGGTTGAAATGAAAAAGCTAGTACCACGAGCAGGATCTGAATCCATGGCTTTCGGCTAAATACGCCGCTGCTCTACCACTTGAGCTATCGTGACTTCAATCTTCTCCGACACCAAAAAAAGAGAGAAAATTCGAAAGGTTGTAGGTTGAGATGGGGAGTTGGTGTCCAAGTGGATCGAATTATCGAAGTCACGATAGCTCAAGTGGTTAGCGCAGCGGCGTATTTAACCGAATGTCGTGGATTCGAATCCCCTCGTGACACTATTTTTTCATTTCAACCAAAACCTTACAAAAAAAAGATTAACGTCTTATTTATATTTACTCCAGCTTGTTATCCCCATGATTAGAAAACAAAAGACAGTCTTGAGAGAAATCATCACTACATGAAAGGTTAGCAACCACATTACGATTTCTCGCTACAGGGATGAACTACAAAGAACTTAAGTTCTCTACTACGATTTCTGATCATTGCTAGGGATTATCAATACCGCATCTCTCGTTACATTTGTATTATTTGTTTTGAAAACGTCGACCAACCGGTTGAGGATCGAATTTCTTTTATTTCTATCATGGTAATCGTCCACCATTTTCCATAAACATGGTAAACTTTCATACAATTCAATCACTCAACAATAAAATCTCGATTGAATGTCATTACCAATAAAGAATAAACTTTTTGACTTTTTGAGAATGTACGATGGAGATGTTTGCTCAGTAACAGAAAGACGGAGACTGCGCCAAAAAAACGCGGGTTTTCCCATTCACGACCAAGCCAGTGCTCCAATATTCCACCGTTCACGCCAGGTTTTCCCATTCACAAACACGCCACGCTGTAGATATTTGGAGTGGCGTGATGGAGTTTGGACCGGTCGAATATTCGGCACAGCCGGGCACACCAGTTCAGTTTTGCCATTGGCGTGGTTTTTTGAACGGCGTCGCTCAGTTTGGACTGCTAGGAGCGATCGTAAATGGCCGCCTTCAGTCTCATGCCTGGTGGTTTGTCCAGTTCTTGAATTTTTCTTTCAAGCCATTTTTCCTGGTGGAGGAGAAAGCTGCTTCCCCCCCTCTATTTGGTCAGCCTATTTGTTTCCTTCTATACTTTCATGTCCCAGAACCCGCTTCAAGAAAACCTTGCGTTCATCTAGGGTCATTAGGTGATTTAAGACATTCCCAGGCTAGTTTTGATAAGCGCCTTCTTTTTGACAAAAGGTTTCTTGTATGTTTTCATCTACTTTAGGATGGCTGAATATTTTTTATTTGTAATAGACAATTTTTTAAGTACTGAACAACCGACCGTTCTCAAACTGAACGCATTCTGTGATGCACTGAAAAACCAGATCGATCAACCCAATATTTATCAAGAAGCCAAACAGAATTGTGGCATTGAACGCTCGTATTCAGGCGCAAAGAAATCGTATTTTTCTCGTGATTTCTGCATGGTTTGAACAACATACACGTCATATATCTGAAAAAATAACCTTTTGTCAACAAAACTGGAATGTCATCAAAAGTGCTGTTGTTCAGTAACTTCGGCAACAACACCCTTTGGAAGCTGTCTACCTTGTTGTCTGGCTCGATGCCATTCATTACAAAATAAAACACGATGGCCACTATCTGAGTTCGGCATGGGGTCAGATGGGACCACTGCGCTATTGCCGCCAGACAAATTCTTATTTACTCGTTCTGTCCATTCAAAAAACAAACTTTTTTACATGTAATTTGGCATGATATATAATTAGAAAAATCTCAATTTTCAATAACAGGTATTGCAATAAAAGAATATTTATGTAATTTGGTAACTTGCTTAAGAATCATCATTTTTAGCTATTTTTAAAATTTAGGCCGAGTATACACTGGGATTCTTTGAGTCGACTCTTTAAATCTCCGGAGAGTCTCAGCTGCGTCTAGCCTGAGTTCCGGGCTGCCCCGACTCATTGCTGCGATGAATCTGGTGTGTTGCGGGCTAGCATTTTCAGACTCTTTTGAATCCCATCCGATGTGGGATTCTTTGACTCAATGTTGCGCAACGTTTGCCAGTGCGGACATGAATCGGAACAAGCGCTCTTGTTTCATTTGTTTAGTTGACGTGCTAGTGAGTGTTTTCTTGAAGATTTTAATACTGTCTTGTATATATGTTGTGGAGTACTGAGTTGACTTTACAGTCTATTGAAGACATACATTCCCATCGGTGTTTGTGGGATGTATCATTCACGGAATACAGAAATCGGGAATTGAAAAGCAAAACATTGAACGGTTTAACCCAAAAATTCAGTGTTTCCGTCGCCGAAATTGAGAAAAATGCACACTTTAAAATGACAGTTTTTTAATGCACTTCCGATTGGTACAATGCAAAAAAGAGCAAGGGAAATCCCTGAGAGCTAGATCCCCCGTCATTTTCGCAGGCACTGATGAATGTGAATTGAATCTTGGTCTGGACACGGTTCTTTGTCGCGGAGCAGAGTCGGGGCTGCATCGCAACAATGAATCTACGCAGCTCCGACTCTGCCCCGCAACATGAATTGATTCAAAGAACCTCAGTGCGTATTAGGCTTTAGAGCTGCTAGACTCTCCGATTCTGTCCACTTTTTAAAAATTTTCTTTTATCACCTGTGGGCAAAGTTGGATTGCATAGACATCAGCTTGGAAGATAATTTGGACCAGTCTAAGGTTTACTAGTGCATATTTAAGCTATTTTTACCCTACACCTACTTCGTTTCATTGTGGATCCATCAGAGTACCAAATTGGGGCCCTTTACGGAAGTTGCCTTTCTTACAAAAATTTGTTATTTTTTGCCACTTGAAATGATTTGTCAAATTCACTAATTTCGTGGTCCGCTTGACCAATTAATATATTACAATTAATTAAGGTTTTTAGTTGAGATAAAAAAAAAAGTACAAGTGGTAGAGCAGCGGCGTATCTAGCCGAAGATCGTGGGTTCGAATCCCGCTCGTGCCATTGACTTTTTTATCTCAACTAAAAACCTTAATTAATTGTAATATATTAATTGGTCAAGCAGACCATGAAATTAGTGAATTTAATTAATTAAAATGAAGTATACTTTCACTAAAGCTCTCGGTGGCCATTTCATTTGTCGCCGAGAATCCAATCCGATTACACGACATTTGAAAAATGGCAAAAAGTAGGGAAAACTCAAAAAGGTGGGGTTGAGATAAGAAGTTGGTGTCCGAATGGATCGAGGTCATGATAGCTCAAGTGGTACAGCAGCGGCGTATCAAGCCGAAGATCGTGGGTTCGAATCCCGCTCGTGCCATTGACTTTTTTATCTCAACTAAAAACCTTAATTTATTTATTAACGTTAAAGAGGGGGGGGGTATTATTCGACTTTTCCAATGAAGTACATTAAATTGCTTATGAACTTTACAACTTCTGATTGTAGAAAAATCTGGTTTGTGCCACGTAAAGAACGTTAAATTTTCGGTAAGAAAACCTATAGAATCGATGAAAAAATGCTGTTGCTCAAAAATGTTGAGTTTTCCTCAGATAACCATCTCCTTTGTTTTAATACATTTTAGAATTTTGTAAAGGCTTCTTAGATCCGGTTTGATTTTGTTGTTTCTCAGAAGTCTGTTGGCACTTTCAAAAGCCACTTTTTGATCATGAATGTGTAATGCAAAGTTCGACTGTGGTTTTCATCGCTGTTATGTTGAGACACATTAGCTATTTTAGACTTTGCAGTTCATTTTTAACTGGGGTTTTCTGTCAAAAACGTTTTAAAATTTCATCAGGTTCAACGGTTCAAGTTTTGTTTAGTGTTCTATCTATCAAAGACAAAATAACAATGTCCACCCGGTGCTGATGATGTGAAATTCTGACAGAAAAAGCAGCAGGTGTGATAGAGGAAATAAACACATATGCTTGTTTTGTACTGTAATTGGGTTTAAAAAAACATGTTTTTTTTTTACTTTATCGCAAACTATTTTTAAAAATTACCTTTTAGCATTTCAGTTTTTAATTTATCCTTAGACTTAATATTAATTAATTTTTTTCAGTACTTAATGAAGAGCTGTAAGAATTTAAAAGGCGGTCTGCAAGAAGTCGCCGACCAACTGGAGCTGACGAGGGTCGGCCCACAGCACCAGGCGGGTTCTGATTCACTCCTGACGGGCATGGCGTTCTTTAAGATGCGAGAGGTGAGTCAAGCATGTGGCCAGCTTCCTGCAGCATTGACGCTTTTTCTAATGCTTATTATGCTTTTGTTGCAATGCTTTTTTCTTTTCCAACAGACGCTTTCCTGCATTGACCTAATGACAATTTGTGAAAACTCTAAACCAGCACTTATATTTTACCACTGGAAAGCTGATATTATTATTAAAGCAAAATGTGATACGGACTTTTAAAACTCATATTTTAAAAACAAAAAAGTTTATTTTTTCAACGTTAGATTTTGTAGAAAATATTTTCTTTTAAGATTCTATTTTTAAATTGTGCAGAAAATATTAAAAGAAATTGTTACATGTTTTTAAAAATCATAGTTTTTATCCAAATTTTTAGTAAGGTTTCATCTTTCACTGCCGCACTTCATGCTTTAATCGTAAATGTTTTGTTTTTCAAATCGTCAATCTGTCAATTAATTAAAAAAAAAAAAAGGAGGCCAATCGGAAGGTTCCTAAGGTATTTAATGCAAGGCAATGGTGAAAAAAAGTGCTCTTCGTGTGTCTGTCCAACTGCATCCTTTTCACTTTTAAAAAAAGATTGGAATAAAACAAATCAGCGTGCAGGTAGAATTTCTCCCTTAGTTGCATTCGGCTTGTCCTTTCGGTGTATTTTCAGAATGAATGTGCATGCCATTCAAAAAATTTTGTGTGCTGTGTGTGGGATATTTTGTTCAGTCTACTTTGAAGGTGTGGGATTTTATTTTTCAGTTCGCTTTGTGGTGTGGATTCCATTGGATTTGTTGTTATAAAAATAAGCAAGGTAGTTTCAATTAAACCTGAATTATTTTGCTAATTAGCCACGTCCTTTGTTTAGTCGACCGATTGTAACAGCAACTGCCTTGCACTTTCCTTTAAGTGAAAGTCTACGAAAACTTATTGCATCTTCATCCAAATGACTAAATTTGTTTTGCCCTTTAACTGACAAAACTATTGATTAAGAACGGTTTTTTAAATCATTGTTAATTCTCAAATTGAAAACTTAACCTCAATAGAAACAATGTAAAATTATATTGATTTTAAAATCCCTCGGATGGACGCAATTTACAAGCCCCTTTATTTCTAAGATTTTTAAATTATGCATGTTTTTAAAGTTGAAAATTTTTAATAAATAGGGCAATTTATATTTAATTTGGTAATTTATTAAGTTTACACAATTTTTAATGTGGATGAGAGAATTTTAAAATAAAAATCAGCTTGAATACCATCAGAAAATTTATTATGTATTGAAATAAAGCCTATTTTGTGTAATAATTTAAAAATTAGTAAATTATTAGAAATTTGTTCTTAGCTTTTTTGTTTTTTATTCAAAAACAGTAGACAGACACAAAAATCGTAGAGCTAATTTTTACTAGTCAATTAAGTGAAAAAAACTTCAATACCTTTGGAATCTTTCTGAAAGTTTTGACAGTTCATTTTAATGCCAAATTTTTAGCCAAAAAAATTAAGAGAGTAAAAACTGTGATAATTTTGCCTGTTGGACTTTTTCTTTATATCCTTACTTTTTTTAAATGTTATTTTTGTATACGGCATCCTTTTCATAAGCATGTATTCACTCATGACAAATGTTTTCCAGGACCTTCCCGAAACCATATCCGAACTTCCTAGTTCTCCACTCCTTACGTGTCCTTGTAAATTGCGTCCTAAGTTCAATAGATGTATAGCCGACGTTAATTCGGATAGTGATGTTAAGTGCTTCAGTAAAAAATGAATAAAATATCTATTGCGATTGTTAATGTAAATATTCCTCAGATTTGTAAATAAAGTTGTAATTTACGATATTGAAATTGAAATAAAAAAAAGTGAAAGTTTAATTGTTGATTTTTGACAATTTACTGTAATTTTTATTTTAAATTGTGTACAAAAAAGAGCAAGCACTGAAAATATAATAAAAAAATAGGGATGGTATCAAGAGAACAATGTATTTACATGCTGTGATGCAATTTATGTGATTCTGTTTTATTTGTTTGTTTTATTTTAATTTTTTCTGAAAAAAAGTCTAGTTCGTACAAAAATAACAGTTGTACATTTGGTGTGGGTCTTAAATCACTGAGAGAAATGCCTAAACTACTGTAATTGCTGAATTTTATGTCTTGCCTTCTGAAACACTGTAAAAAATTCCCATTTTTCACAAAGGTGTTGGCTTTATTATGAGAAACAATACTGTACATGAAAACCAACTGGGATGGTCTGAAATAAGCAGCTAACACTCAATATAAGATTTTATATCGATCATGTTCTTCACCGCATAAATAAATAATATGATGTTAAGATTTTTTTATATCCCAATCCTTTTTCGTAAAAGATAAGAAATTCCTCTAGCGACATTAAATATATGCTGAGCTGCTAAACTGGGTTGGGTTTGGTTAATGGGACAGTTTTGTAAGTACAGTTTTACTACCAGTACTTTACCTGCTTGGTTCTTTGTTTTTTGCTGCATGTACATCTTTTAAGTGGTAAACCGTCTTTTCCATTCTCACACCGAAAATAGCCAAGAGAAGAACAAAAAATTAATATTCAAATAAATTTTTGTGCAACTTTAAAAAGTGTATTCAAGGCATGCTTAAGTGTATCCGACTATATTAAGTAATTTGGTCTTTAATCATTAGGTCTGCCCATCCTAACTGGGTTCATCAGTGCGTTTTTGTTTATATTAAGTCAGTTATTTTATATGCTAGTCCGTGTGGGGTTTGTCAGTGCCTTCGGCAGATTAAATCTTTATCTCACAAAAACAACACAATCAAAAAACTAATAAGACAAATGGCATATATGCCATAACATGAAAATGCAGGCATTGGACAGAAAAGGTGAAAAAAGAGAAAACAAAAAATGAACATATAAGATCATATATTGGGACAGGAAAACAAATTAAGCTACTTGCCTAACAGCTATCGCGAATCTTCAACAATACAAGCATGAAAATACTAACTACAAAATACTACCAGGCCATTGGCGCTTTAAGTATCTTAAAGAATTGTCAGGAAAGGTTTGATATGAAATGTGTTGGTCTAGGGTGTTTAACTAAGCATCTATTGTGGCATCTGTATCAACATATTCCAGTTTAGAGGACAAATTGGATATAGAGGTCTGTTCAGATTGTAAGGTCGGATGCAAAGTTAGGGAGGTTAGGCCTGTTTGAAGGACTTTGGACTGGAGTTTTTGAATTCTCCGGAGGTTGGAATGCTTGGTCTTTAGAAGTCTTTTGAGTAGTTATGAAGTTTCTGTTTAGTTTTCTTCTTTTTCTATTGCATCTAGTGTTCCCAGTAAGTCTTTCACCGATTTAAAATTCCCAATTATAGATGGCTGGGAAAAAAGATTTCTAGCAGATTAAAGAAGAGGTGGTGCAGCGATGGAGTAAGGTTATTTGCTGGAGTTTGGTTTCGTTGAAACTGATCCTCCATTGAGACGCTTCCATTTCTTGAAGCATTCTTCTAGACAGAAGAGATAGTACTGGAAGTTTCTGAAGGCCTCTTCTTGGTTTGCTGAAAGCATAGCGGTATAAGCAAATACGAGGAGTACTATACTGGGATTGCTAGGAATGTGTGCACTACACAAGTATAAAAAAGTACCAACAAACAAAGATAACACACCTTCCTGATTAGAAAGGAAATCACTAGGCCATTGGCACTTAAGCATCTTAGGGATTGTCAGGAAGGGTTCAGGGTGAATGGTCTAGGGTTTTATGGCGTCTGTATTGACATCTTTTGGTTTGGAGAGCAAATGAGTTTTGGGGGTCAATGTGGTGTATGCTTAGGTTGGATTTGAAGTAGGGAGCTTGGGCAGTGGTTTGAAAGGTTTTGGACTGGAATGACGTGTCTTTTGGTGTTCAGAGTATGGCCAGATTGGTTGTAGTGTAGATGAGGGTTTGGATCTATTGTCGTAGACGATGTGGTTTCGTTGAGTTTGAATCAGAGAGATGGTCATGGAGGTTTCTTAAGGCCACTATTGGGCTCTGAGTTGTCCAAAAAGATGGTAGTATCGTCTGTATATGTGAGGAGATCACTGTATTCAGATTGAAGAAATATCTGCACTATGCCGATATTTTAAAAAAAAAGGCCAACAAACAAAGATAACACCTTATAAAACAATTTGACTTCAAAGAAAAAACAGACCCAAAATAAAGATGGCGAAATGCCAAAAGGCGTCTGACAAACCAAACCAGCAAAGATAGGCAGACAAAAATGATTGACAAACAAATTACAGGTTCACCGTAGAACGTCTTCACAAGATATTACAAAGTTTCATCTCGAATGTACGCTCCCTTATAATAAAAATAAAAAGTAAATGTTTTTGTTTGAGGTGGTAGTTTTCGTTTTTGTAGGTTCTTTTTACCTTGTTTTAAAATTTAAAGCATGTATAGTTTAACCTGTCAAGTTATGTGATGTAATTTATTTAAGTTAGGGCTTCTGATATAAAAGAGTAGAAGACAGACATAAAAGTAATATCAGTTATAAATTAAAAATATATCAATTTACAATTTAATACTTTTGCTGTTTGTTGATTTATGTGAAAACAGTGATAAAGTTAATGGTGGGTGTTGGTCTGAGAGTTGAAAATTTGTTGAACTGGCACTGCGTCCCTTACAAATAATTATTACTCGCTGAAGATGCTCAAAGACATTTGACGAACACAGTGCAGGTCCAACAATGATAAATTCCTTGTATTTTTATTTATTGTATTGATATTTTATTCAGGCAGCAAATTTTATGTTGCAGAGTATGGGAAAGCGTATTTGTTCCAATATCTCTGCCATTTTGAAAATTGTCAATGGTTTTATTTTTTCTTTGTTTTCTTTTCAATTTCAGATGTTTTTCGAGGACAACATCGACGACGGGAAATACTGCGGTCATCTCTACGGGCTTGGCACTTCCTTCGCGGTAAATGGCAACAGTTTCCATGACAACGGTGACAACGGAAGCAACTCGTGATAAGGACATTTTTCACCGAGGAATGTGTGGCATTTGCTCGCGATATGTGTATATAGCTAAATGAGCCTCCAAATCGTGAACTCTATTTCTTATAAAAAAGCAAAATCACGTAAAACAAAAACTTTTTGTGCCCATCCCACAACTTTCTTCTCTTTATTTTTAAAGTATAATTAAGTTTAAACTGAACAATTTTTTTTCTTTTCTTTTCACTCATTTTTTTTTCTTTTGTTTTATAATCTGATCAGGTTAACTACAGACTCAGTGACAAAACCAACCCAGTATTCAACTCTTTAAACAAATCTGTGATTTCTGAAAACACTTTTTTTACTTTTATTGTAAATAATAACAAAGTGTAAAATGTTCTATTTTAACAATATTTGGAAAAAATACAAAAAAAAGTAATTGTTAATATTATTATAGATATATTTATTTTTGTCACAAATCTGTTAATTAATATTATTATTTGTTGAATTATCATGAAACACGTGTTGAAATTATGCAGCGGTGATTCTTTTGTCCCTGAACACTGGGTCTTTTGTTGGTCTAGATGTAGTCAACCTTGTTGGATTTAGGTTTAAGATAATTGCTTATATAACACATGTGTATGTATAATCCCTTCTTCCCTTCATCCCTTCATTTTCTATTATTTTTTTAATTTGTTTGAAATATTTGTAAAATAAAATGACCCCTCCCATCAAATTAGTAAATCAATTATTGTAGAATTTAGGTTGTTATACATACATCGAGTACACTGATTGTAAAAAATTATAAGATTGGTTTTTTTAATTAAACAAAAAAAAATTTAAAAAAAATTCAAAACCCAGTTTGAAAAAAATTAAATTAGGGTAAATTAAATGCATATTCGTTTTTGTAAAATATATTTGTAGTATCTAGAAAGTTTTGACTTGAGGCATTTATTTACAAGTAATCACTGCCCCCTGTACACAATTTGTAGAATTAAAAAAAAAAAAAAAATTTCATATTTACATTTGTTCTTCTCACATATTGAAAAATAGCTTAAGACGAATCGCTATCCGTCCCTGAATACGAACCGAGGAGGGATAAAGCGTTTTGTTTCGGCTGCTCTTCATTCGGCTCCTTCTTTATAGTCGACAGCGCTTCAATTTTAACCTCTGAACGAGAAGGTGTGCCTTCCTTTCCCTTTAGCCTCACCAAGTTACCCAACGGCTTCTTTATAATCCCAACGCTCTTTTGCGAAAGAGGATCTGGTTTTATTGTAAGTACTGCCGGTTTTGTCGACATGATTGCATCCTTATCCTTAAAAACAAAGTTAAATTTTTTAAAAGAAATAAAATATAGATAATTAAAACTATATAACAGCCTTAAAAATAAATATGGTGAAATCTTCCCTTACAACCCCGACTTCCAAGAATTTTTTAACCTTTTTGTTTTTTATTATGTTAAAACATATCACAAAAAAAGAACCTTGAAGGTAAAAACACTTTTTTCCCCTACTCTATACATATTACTAACATTAAAAATGTGTTCACAAAATGTTTTTTTCACACGGTCACAGCACTAACACTAATGCCAGACGCTAAGACGCATCATGAAAAACCAGCCCAATGCACTGGGTGTGGGATTTAAGGGGGGGGGAGTTAAGGAGGTCTTGAGGCTATTGTCGTTTAAAGCGATGGGGTGCATTCTCGGAATCGGAATTTGTAGGATGGGTTGAAAAGTAGGGTTAGGATGGATTGAGAGGTTAGTGTGAAACATTTGCAATCGGGAATGGATCAGTTCGTTGACAAAAGAAAAAAACGAGTGAGGTGGATAGGATGTTACATAGTTTGACTTTGACGTTTTGTCTGAGAACTTTTGATTGGATGATCTGGATGTGTTGGGTGTTTTGGAAGAACCACACAGTTACACTCCGTCCAAAATAGTCACAGTAAATTCTTGTTATAAGGTTAGTTTAGTGTTGAGTCACGACGGATTTTGATGCAAGAAGTCTTCACAGTTGTCCAAATCTTCTGTTAAGTTGTTGTGTGGGGATTCTGTCAGTCGGCAGTCTAGGTACAGTCCTAAGTACTTGACCTGAATGGAAATTGCTAACTCTTTGTAATTGATGTCAAATTTGGAGTATCGTCTGCATATCATAATGGAAGGTATTAGGGTATAGGCTGGTTAGCAGTATAAATGATATAAAGGATACGATTAAGAATGCTTAGGAGTGAGTAGGAAGTGTGTTTTAAAGCAGGCCCGGATGCCAGACCCTATGAAAAAGCTGTGATTTGGGACATCTAGGAACACACCCAAGCATTACTATTTATTCTCTAGAGCAGGAGGAGATAGTGTCGACAACAATAAACTCTTGAATCGTGGAAAGATGAGGACATGGAAGGACTGGCATTAAGCGCTTCAAAAATCCTTTGAAGGAAGAGGCTGATGGATCTGTGGTTAGGAGAGGATATGTGGTTGGGAGGTTTGTAAGATTTAGATTTATATAGGCGCAAATCTGCATATGTACGCTCATACATACAAGCAGTTGAGCCTATTCTCTAGTCACTGACAAGTCCAGCATTTGCTATTTACAGTAAACTGCCGGCAAACTAGAGAATCTCCCACAAGTGTTGGCAGTCCAGGGGCAGACTTTAGCTTTATCCATCCAGCCACCAAGGTTGATCTTGGGGAGGGGGGTGCTGTCAACAGCTAGGTGTCAATGTGTGGCTGCCATCTCAGCATTTGATCAAACATGAGACCAATGAACCTCACCGACCCTAGGTACCTTATTCAAGCAGGTCTACCCACTTAAATGTCGTCGATGAAGGATAATACTACTCAACAATGCTTTTTTCTATTCTATCAACTTGAAAAATAAATCCATAGATTTATTTTATTATTTTTAATGGTAAATTCAAGAAAAATTGTAGGTCATTAGTTAACAATAATAAGTTCATAGTATTATTTTTAATGGTAAATTCAAGGAAAATTATAGGTCAATAGTTAATAATAATAAGTCCATAGCATTTTTTAATGGTAAAGTCAAGGAAAATTTTAGGTCAATAGTTAATAATAATAAGTCCATAGCATTTTTTAATGGTACAGTCAAGGAAAATTTTAGGTCAATAGTTAATAACAATAAGTCCTTAGCATTTTTTAATGGTAAATTCCAGGAAAATTTTAGGTCAATAGTTAATAATAATAAGTCCATAGCATTTTTTAATGGTAAAGTCAAGGAAAATTTTAGGTCAATAGTTAATAATAATAATAAGTCCATAGCATTTTTAATGGTAAAGTCAAGGAAATGTAGGTCATTATATAATAATTACATAGCATTTTTTTAAATGGTAAATTCAAGGAAAATTTCAGGTTTTTAATTAATAAAAATGAGTGTTGGTTTTTCTCTCAACTCAGCATCCAATCAGAGCCAATTTTATTTTTATTTTTTTTCTCTGTACCAACCAAATTCAAAAGTAAGCTAATTAATACAAATAGGGTGTTGGTGGCAGCAATAGTTACTGCGTTGACATGGCGCTAATCACTGTAAGGTAAAGGCAAAGAGCTCGAATCCATCGGCTGGCCCAACACACCTTTTAAACACACCAACACCTCAAGGGTTCTTACAACTTTGTAGTTGAAATACCCTTGTTTTTCTTCTCCTGCATATCTCTACGATGAACCCATCCAGCTGATCTCAGATGTGTTGAAATGATTGTGTGAAATATGCTAATTGTCTCTACACTGTCTCATACCGTTGAGTGTAGGTTATTTATTACAAAACTTGAATTTGGCCATCATCAAAAGCTGAAGGATGACTAGAACGCTTTTCATTCGAAATTGAAATTTCCAACTTCTGAATTTAGTAAATAACCTGTGGATGGTACTTTGTCTTAAAACATCATTGCTATACAGAAGTATTCTTCCTCCATTTAAATAAACAAAACACCTCAACTAATCCCTTTAAGAGTGTATAAACAATAATGACTAATTAAACTTTAATTCAAATTAAATTATTGACAAACGCTGCGGAATTATGTTACAATCCAATAATTAAAATTTCATCGGCTACAGCAGGATTAAAACCCAGACATGTTATAACATGACAAATATGAATTGGGCGCCATAACCACTCGGCCACCAAGTTGGTTGTTACCGGTCATTTCATCATTGTTGTGTTGGCCTGTCAGACACATTTTGGATTATGCCATCTTCAGTATGTCTGTGATTCTTTTGAGTCAAGTATTTTATATGCTAGTATTTACACCAGAACAACAAAAAACTAAAATTTAAGAGATTTCCATAGAAGCACTGACAAAGAAAAGAGATTGGACCTCACATAAATACCAAAGATCTGACAATAAAGATGGCAAAATGCTGAAACACATCTGACAGGTCTGACAAGCAGACCCAAGGTGATCAGTAATGATCAAATTATAGGTTTATCACACCACAGATCACAAAAAAATCTCATATTAAAATAGCATTTAACTCACATCTAAATTACTGCTGGAAGATGATTGAGTTTCATGAACGTTTACATTCTCCTCTTTTTCTTTTTTTATCTTCTTTTTTTTCTTGAGAGGTTGTCCATCTTCGTCCAAGATTTCCTCTTTGACAACTGTCTTCTTTCCAAACACAGACCTTAAATTAAATTTTTTTTTAAATTAAATTTAATATCTTTCTTGAGCTTTATGTCAAAAGCTTACTTCACAAATCTTTCATCTTCTTCCTCTTGCATTTTCCTGATCCGCTCTTGGGCCTCTTTCGAGTTGTACTGGGAGAGAAGCGTATCAAAGTCGACATTCTGTTGTCGTTTGTTAAGATCTTTCAACTCTTCTAAGGACTCGAGGAGGTCCAGTTCTTGTTTTGATTGCTTCGTCCTGTTTTCCAACAGCTAAAAAAATAAAAGACAATTATTTTATTTGTATTTTATTTATTTATTTTTGTTAAAGAAATAAATAGAGCCACTTACTTTCATTGGGTTTGACGCTTCTTCTTCTTTTCTTTCCTCTTCTTCTCTTTCTGCTTGCTCTTCGGCAAGTTTCAGCGCCATAAAATTCCTCGTAGCGCCTGCTTCTATTTCGTAATCCGTATTTTTCGGGTCGGTCTTGAAAGATATCTCCTGGAGACATCTTGTGCACTGGAAATTGGCGTATTCTTATAACAAAAATAGATTTTCAAATGTGAACACTTCAATAAGCTTACTTTGATATAAAACCTGAATATTCTAATGCCCAAATAGTCCTCGCCTTCAACGTCCTCTTTCTTTGCATTGAACTTTTTCCCTTTGTATATGTACTCGCCGCAAGTTGCACATCTACAAAAATAACAAATGAGGGTTTCAAAAAAAAAAAAAATCTGTATGGTATTATTATTTTTAAAAAATATAAAAAATTACCTCATATTAAAAGGGGCCATCAAACGTACAGTGAACTGACGGTTTTTCGTCCCTTTCATACGAGGGATCTTTGACGGATCAAAATCCGGGGGGTAGTATTTCTAAAATATAAACAACAAAAATTTATTGTTCCAATTTCATCAACAATTAAATTCACTAATTTCGTGGTCCGCTTGACCAATTAATACATTACAATTAATTAAGGTTTTTGGTTGAGATGAAAAAAAGTTAATGGCACGAGAGGGATTCAAACCCACGACCTTCGGCTTGATATGCCGCTGCTCTACCACCTGAGCTAGGTCAAGGTCACGATAGCTCAGGTGGTAGAGCAGCGGCGTATCAAGCCGAAGTCGTGGGTTCGAATCCCTCTCGTGATCTCAACCAAAAACCTTAATTAATTGTTCATCAACAATGTTTTCATTTATTCATTCATTTAATTACTAGATTTTTCACAATCAACCCTCTCGCATTTACACTACGCACTGCCACATTCATACAAAATGTCCAACCACAAAAAAAGATACAATAAATAATTAAAATATATGTACAATATTTTCAGGTTAAATATGCGGAAACACCCCCGTTTCCCTTAAAAATCAAAACAGTGGACCCCACAGCCTCATGGCCAAGGGCTGTCATTATATCAGGTGCCACGCCTAATCGCTCCTAAAGATGCAAGGCCTGGCACTCCTGCACCAACCACCACTGAGCAACCTTTCTCTACAAGTGACACATCTGCATGGGGTTTAACTAAAAGCATGGGTACATATGTCAGTCAGGTATAGCCTATCCTCAAATGCCTCAGCACGATATCTTCCTTTCGTTTCAAGAGCCTTTCCAGGCCCACTGATGCCATAAATTTATATTCTATCATTGCCAACTCTTCAGAGTTAATATTATACTTGACAACATGAATGTTAATAAAATATTAAATAATTATTATAACCTAAAATAGTGGTGACAATATCAATTAGAAGTTGTTTTGTAACTTTTTAATTTAACCTTATATTCTATCATCCCATCAGTTTATTATCTGTTCCTGGCAAAATCCTTCAGAAACTCCTCCTCAAATGCTTTCAACCATTCTTAAGTCCCAGTCCATAATCAATAACCATCAATTTTGTTTTGAAACTCAGCACTCGACTGCAAAGTATTGTCATTGTGATCTAGATGTCATTGCCTCCTCCTTTGAGCTTAAAAAATACTGCTCCAAGATATTCCTTGATGTCACACAAGCATTTGATAAACTATGGCACAATGGACTATGTATACTCAAGGGCATCCTTCTACTAACTAAAACTGTTTTCAGGTTTGCGAGGGCCATGCATTTTCTCCCATTCTCTCAGTTTCTCCTCTACTAAATTTATACCCATGGTATCGCTTCATCTTATGCAACAGTTACATTTACATTTTCTAATGATACATCTAGCTTTCTCAATATTATGATTTTGTCTTTCCCATAGAAACCTTCATCTCCCCATACACCTCAAAAGTAAATCTATCAACTAATTTATTACCATGTGACTAGTCCTATGAATTGGAAGAAACTATAAGCAATCAATATGGAGGCAGGAACGTTTTTTTTTTACCAAAAAGTTCAATGCCATATGTCCATATCAGACTAAAACTAGCAATATAAATTAGACTTTTTTTAAACAAGGGTAATTCAACTATGAGGTTGTATTTAGTGAACCCTCAAGGTGCCGTTGTTTTTGGAAAAAATTGAACTGCTGGATTCGAACCCAGACCCAGGTTCTTTACTATACAGTGATGACGCCTAAGCCATTGCGGCCACTGACACCCCAACAGGATCTTTACGAGAGCAAAGGATGGTGGTATCATTCACATAGGTGTCGAAGATTGTTTCAGGAAGGTTAGGTATGCTTGCAGTGTATACTGTGTAGATAATGGCCTTAAGATACTTCCTTGTGGTACTGCATTAGCCGACTGATAGAAAAGGGCCACTATTGACTTGAAAGTTCTCAGGTTGTTAGGATTTTATAATCAGGTATTTGGTAAAAGGAAAGTCTTTTAAGCTTCCAGACAGCCCCGAGAGACTTGCCCAAAGCTTGCTTCACATCTAGGAACACACCAGAGCAACACTCCTTTTGCTCAAGAGCGGTAGTAATGATCTACATGATAGCACTGCTGAACAACAACAACAAACATCTAAACCCAAACTGGTGGTCAGAGTTAAGGTTACAGTTATGAAGCATAGGGAGAAAGTGTTTAAGGAGTTTTTCTAAGATTGTTTATTATAAGCAACTGTCAAATTGGACAATAGGATAATAAAAGGTTAAGAGGTTTTTTATACTTTGGGATTATTCAGATGAGGGAAAATTTCCACTGGTATGGGATGGTGTTCTAAGGACTGAATTATAAAGGCAGGTAAGGAAAACTAATGTTTTTTCCATTTTAGTAGGTGTTGAAGGATTTTTCGGTGATTAAGTCAAAACCAGGAGCTACCTTCAGATGTGTTATGATATGGGTGTGAACGGAAATTTTTGTATTAAAAATTTTCAGAACGTTACAAGCAAAGTGCCTCACATCAACTACTAAGAAGGTCTAAAATGAGGTCTAGCAGACAAAATAGGCAGATTATCACACTACCCATCAGTAGTTGTACTGATAAATTGCATCTTTTATTCTTTCTCCAATGAGTTCAAACTAATTGCCAATTTCTAATAATACATAAAAACCTCATTTTATCCATGGATATGTAAAGTAACTGTATTATAAACAATCAGGACCCTGCAAATGTGCCTTAGAGACCAAATGTTAATTAGGTTCAAAATGAGGCCTGACAAGAAAAAAAACAGCAAGGATAGGCTGGCCAGGGGTCATCATAGAGTAGAATTCACCTCACATCTCACAATTGTAAAACTACATCAAATTTTTAAACTTAGATAATTAAAACAATTGTATAGTACATAAAAAAATGTTAGTTATTTAGATTTTTCAAAAGTTAGCAGTCTGAACATGATAAATCCTCCGAGGAATAAAATATCTTCCTTTTTTGACATTTTCGCTGCTAAATATCAGCAAAGGCAGTTGGATCAGGATAATGATAGACTCTAGCAGGTAATCAAAAGTTCAAACTGCTGACAAGTAGTTAATATCGTTTACCCATAAATAATGGCAATGTTATATGAAACCACTTACATTCAATACTTTTCTCTCGGACATTTTTCCAAAATTTAATTAAAAGATAAATTAAAGTGGAAAAATAAGTGTTGCCCACTGGTTGAGAGGATGGTTAACCTTCCCTTGTTTTCGGAAGGCTTCGTTGCTCTTGGGTCTGTGAAGTGGCGCGGCTTCGAGGCGCGGTCAGTTCGAGAAGCGTGCATGTGACGATCCGGTACCCCCACGTGTCTCATCGGGAAAAATTTTGAAAAAAAAGTCCTGTTTCGTCTAAATTTCCATAATCCCCGTTTACTTTCACTGTTCGATGTTTTATTTATGAGGAGCGACCTGCTAAGAATATGTATTGTTGAAGAGATGTGCGTTTGTAAGGAAAGATGGAAATAAAAAAGGGCTACTTGTATATCACTCAACTTCGCTCTCGACGTTTCACTCTCTCTCGCCACAAAATTTTGCAATAACACGTTAGATTAGAAAATAAGCAGCTAAGTTTGTGACAATCCGCCACCCTTTCTCCCTCACCCTCTCACTCACTCTCACTCTTTCTAGTCACAAAAAATCTGTATCTCACCTTTTCTCTCCCACTCTCTTTCTTTCTCTCTCNCACAAAAAATTTGGAATGTCACATTGGATTAAAAATAACCAGCTAAGTTTTTGACAATCTCTCACCTTTTCTCTCCCACACTCTCTCTCGCTCTCGCTCTCTCTCTCTCTCTCTCTCTCCCTCCCTCCCTCATTACCACTCCCCCGTTCCGATATGGAGGTCCATAAAAGGGTTGAAACTTCTTATTTACCTCTGTATCTGTCTATCTTTTTATGTCTAATTATCGAACATTCTTCTATCTCTGTCTCTTCCAACAAATGAAACAATCTATCTATATATCCCTCACTACATAGTTTTTTTTTTAATTTCATAGATATATTTTTGGCGCATAGCTTAGGGTTGGTAAGGTTGGAGATGTGTTAAGTTACTTTAGGTTAAGCAGGTTTAGATTAGATTAGGCTAGGGAGATACGTTAGGTAGGGTTAGAATTATGTTAGATAAGGTATGCTTAGGTTAAGATAAGGTAGGGTAAAGGTTAGGTTAGATAGGGTAGGATAAGGTTACAAGATTCAATTTTCGTGGAACGGAGAAAATGTGTTAGTGCGAAGCGCGAGTTTTATGTACTAAGATGCCTATATAGAAAGATCATTTGAAAGGAATTTCTCTTGAACATTCTTCTTTACTTGTGATTGTGGGATGGATTTCCGAAGTTGGTCTGTTCTTCTGAGTACTTAAAAATTTTAACACGTAGGATTTTAGTTGAAGACAGCGAGATGACGGACCTGGAGAATGGTTGATTTTAGTTTGCCTATTCTCGCTGATTTTGTCTGTCAGAACCCGTTTTGGACTTGCCTATCCACGGCACAAATAGTTTAGTGAATACAATATAAATTAAATTGCATTGTTGATAGACAGATTGAAATCGCATATAAAACCTTATTCGCCTAACTTCGCCGTGCTCCAAAGTGATTATACTCCATAATGAAACACAAATCTGCAAGCATCTCGAGTTTAACTGACGAGGTGCTAAGAGAATTGAGATAGCCAGCAATAGCAGCCAATTATTCCATTATTAAGGATTTGATTGGTCACAATTAACTGTGAGTGATGACGGCAGTTTAATCGAAATCGATCCTGTCAAGTCCGCGTGTCTGCGATATTATAAAAGTCTTTGGTGAATTGCAACAGGCGATCGTTTGTACTCGCAAGTAGATCAAGTGACGTCAGCAATAAGATCTTATTCATCATCTGGCTGTTACATTGTCTTTAAGCATACGGGTTTCTTTAATATAGCCAATTACTTTGTTAGGTTACAAGGCCAATAAAATGCCAAGAGAGCTTAGTAGTAATTAACGATGAACGATCGTAAAGTTCTGTTTCAAATATTTTACTATGTTCATCTCAACCAAACTTCTATTTATTTACTTCTTGCTAGTGTGTGATACAGTAGGATAAGTTACGAATATGAGTATATTATGAGATTGATTTCATATGCGAATAGATAGATCATGCGATGACAGCAGTATCATCTAAATCGATCATGAAGATCACGAATAGGCAGCATTGAGGGGGCGTCGGTGGCCGCAACGGTTCAGGTGTTGACACGGCGCTCATCTCTGTAAGGTGAAGGTCCCTGCTTCGAACCCGACATACTTACAAATGGGCTTTGTAAAAAAGACAGTATTTTAAGTTATACACGCCCCTGATACATGCAGGCATCACTCAAAATTAAAAGAAGGGGATGAAGGCAAATCGCGATAATTATAAGCACCGAAGCAATAGAAATGTGATCCATAAATGTTTTAATATTTAGCTTTCATCGTGTGACTTTAGCATGAATGCAACCTGTATAAATGAATCTTTAACCTTTTAAGTTTAACAACCGAAGGAAATTTCGAAATGATGAACAATGACCACCTTATGCCATGTTAGATTGATCAGTTTTGTTTTGTCATTAGACTTTTATTTTCATGCACTTGTTTGTTGTTGTTGTATTGTTTGTTTCTATTATTAAATGATAAATAATTGTTTATTTCTTTTAATACATGAAAAACAATTGTGTATTGTATATCAAGCAATTCAGCTGAAACTTGCAGCCAATCAGCCCATCTATCTCATCCGATCTTTCATTTTTTTCCTATTTAACAGATATCATGGAACCACAGCGTTTTTTTGTTGCTTGGCTTTTTATTTGAACCTTTGTCTCTTTGTACTGAAAATTCTGGACACGGACGAAGCAAAGAAAGTGGAACACCATTGACACTGAAAAGAATTTCGATTGTCACGTGAAGGCTCATTTACTTTGGAATTCTACCCTATCTGACTATTTGGTTCTTTAATCCCTCTTCTTGTCTCTAGACGTCTCAACTGCGACATACAAAAATAGCAAATATATAAAGACAAAAGTAATGTTGTTGGGAAATAAGGTTACTTTTAAAAAACTAGTGAAAGAAGCAGTGCAAAGGAATATCTAATTGCTATCTTTGCTGTTCTTTCTTTGTACAATAGTCACAATTCGATACAAAATTATTCATCCAGTCAATATATGATAAGTAAACTGTCAATATTTATCAAATAAAGGTTCACTTCTTCTTACATATACAAGAGTTTTTAGCAAAACCCCGGGATAAAACAGTTATGTTGTCTAATCGGCTGTCTAACATTCTCCAGCAGTAACAGATATCTGACTTGGACAGCTTATCTCGGCTCGTCGATTCTCTCTGTGCGAATTTTGATAAACGCCATAAACAAGGATTATTGGTACCCATATCAACATCTGTGCGATCACAACTGTCTAGTAGTTTTATAACAGATACTGATATTGAATTAAAATAGATTGAACGTTATCCGGTATAATATTGGAATGAGGTCTCAAACTCTGAAAAATGGCCTTGTATATCGTAAAAACAAAAATCAAAATCTTGACAAATTAATCAATTTTCATTTATAAAAATTCGGAAAATATCTACGAGCATGATATCTCTTGCTAATTAGAAAAATTACACCTAAGAAGAAGAAGAAAAATAACTTTATTCTGGGACTGGTGTCCTCTAAGAATAATTTACATGAAATAAATAAAAGAAGTTCCTTCTATGAAGTTAAAAGTAAAAAAAAAAAGACAGAAATCTTGGCACAATGTATACCAATAAGGCAGGACAGAAGAAAAAATTACGAGAATATTAAACAAAAATAACAAATGTTAACGTGAGGTCTCTGCTTGGAGGGAGAGGAGGTGGTTATACAGGTGGGATTTGAAGGAGGAAAAGGAGGCAGCGTGACGAATAGAAAGGTGAAGGGAGTTCTAGAGTTTAGGGGCTCGGATCAGAAAGGATTTTTCGAAGGTATGGGTTGTATGTTGCGGAAGGATAAGATCGATTGGGGATGAGCGGGTCTTACGAGTGAGATGTGAGGAGTTGAATTGGAGGGATTGTATGATGTAAGGAGGATGACGAGTGTTGATAGACTGGAAAAGAAAGCAACCTAGGAAATACTGTCCACGGAAGGAGGGGAATAGCCAGGAAAGTTGGGAATACAACCCCGACACCCGGGATCCCCGTGGAGTGCCGTACACAAATCTTACGCAACAATTCATAATACGCTTCAATCGCGCGTTCTCCCCCTCCGAGAGACGACCGTATGCCACACAGCTATAATCGAAGAAGGGAAGTATAAGGGAAGATGCAAGGAGTTTGCGGGTGGAGAAAGATAAGAGAAGCTAGGACCGACGAAACAGGCTGAGGGAGGCAATGGAATGGCGGGAAATTTGGGAAATGTGAGAATGCCAGGAAAGGTTTTGGTCAAAGACTACTCCTAGGTTTTTAACAGAAGAGCAGAAGGGGATGGGTGGTTATTTAGCATGAGAGGTGGGATGCTGGGGAGGGAATGGAGGAGTTGCCTGGACCCGATAATTATGGCGGTGGATTTGGACGTATTTTTTTGGACGGACTAGGGAATTTTTATGGGCCCACTCGTTGATGGAGTTTAGGTCTTTTTGGATCTTGAGAGTGGCCGAGTGAAGATCGGAAGGGTGGAAGGATATGTATTTGGGAGTCATCGGCTTATAGATGATAGTTACAGGACTGGATCGAGTCGGGCAGATCATTGATATAAATGGAAAAAAGGATAGGAGAGATGCTAGAGACTTGGGGCACCCCAGATTTTAGAGGGAGGAAGGAGGAGGTAAGGCCATTAGGAAGGGAGACAGCTTGGTGGCGATTGGTAATGTAGGAGTGGAACCAACGGATGGTGCTGGCGGAGAAGGAAATACATGCACGAGGACGAACCAAATGGATGCGAGAGATTGGTGCCATAAACGCAAGTTTGGACGCCCTGCGGGAGGCAATCTCCACCCCCAAAAATTACAGATTAACTGTAAAAAGGTGGCGCACAATAATGAGAAGAAAAGGATGGCCCGCATAAGTCATCAAGTCATCAAAATGTACACGCAAGTACTCATAAGCAACACTACTGGCCCCCTCCAACATCCCGACCGGACGCCTCCGCGCGGCCCATCCCGGGGGCGCATAATAGCGCCGCAAAGATCCGGTGGAGGGGTGCTAGCCAACCGCTAGGCGACAAATAGCCGCCTACCTCTGTAAGGCTC